AAAGTCAAACCTAAACAGAACCAAAACTCCTTGTGATGGAGTTCCCTGGTTTGTGCAGCTTTCTGCCAAGCAGGAGTGATGGTGGACCAGGCCATTTCCAATGGATGCAGCTGAGGCCCTAAAACCATCTGCACAATTCCCTGTCATGGTGCCTGATACCCCACTATTAACTACTCCTTTTGCTGAAGGCACCAACTTCAAACACACCTATGTTGCCTGGGAGGAGTTCTTAGCCTTCTTTTTTGGGCACAAGTTTGAGAACCCCAGCTGCAGGCACCGGCAAACACATCAGGAGCATATGCTTTCTGTCCACAGACCAGCGATGCCACGTCTTCAGATCACGGTGCTTCTAAGCTCACAGGCATCAGAATCACCCAGAATTTTGTTAAACCCCAGCTTGCTGGGCCCCGCCCCAAGTTTCTGATTCCGCTGGTCTGAGACGGGACCTGAGAATTTGCATCTCTCCCGAGTTCCCAGGTAAAGCTGATGCCACTGGTCCAGGGCCTCGCTGTGAGGACCACTGTACCAGGTGATTTCTAAGGCATCTTCATGAGACACGGAGGCCGAGTGTGAAAGTATTCTGCTCATGACTCATGAGGTAAGAGCACAGGCAGTTCTGAAGGAGAAAGGGGTAGGGCCCAGAGGCAGGCCAGCCCAGCAGAGAACTTAGACGTGCTCAAATGATCCACCAAAACATACTCTAATGGGCCTCTTATGCTTGCTTTCTTTCCTGGATATTTTCTGCCTACTGCCCCTAGGAATGGCAAGACTGCTGACAGGTCTAGAAAGGACAAAAGGTGGTCCCCCTCCCAGGCCCCTTCCTGGGGGGATGTGTTCCCACAGCTAGTCAGACCATCAATGCGCTGCTCAGCCCTCTGCACCCTCTCCTGGGGGGCTCCTGGCATCTCTTAGAATTTACACAGGACTTAGTGAAGTCTTAAACTACCCTTTTTTTCTCTTTTGAGATTATCTACTACCTAATAGGATAAATTCAAAGGAAAATATGCTCTGATCCTCCAGCTGCCTCTTCTTGACACAAACACAAGGAACTAAGCAGTGGGCCTGCTGAGAAGGCGGGCAGGAGGAGGTTCGTGACGGGACCGCGGGCTGGGCGGCCACCCTCTGGCAGGGCCTCGTACTCCCCCTTTGGCCCTCGCATCGGAGTTGGTTCCATATGTCAGTGGAGGGGAAGCTGGATCCGGGTGTCTGCCTAGTGTTACCATGGCATCTACTGGGGCAAGAGGTTCTGTTTGTGAGTTAGCCCTTTGCCCATCTCAGAGCCCTGGGCTCCCCCGCTTACATTGACTCTAACAAGAATCCTATGAAACAAGCAGAATGGGAATGATGACCCCATTTGGCAGATAAGACAACTGAGAAGCGAGGCTCAGAGAAAACAGTGGACATGGAGTTGAAACAGTGTGTTGTACTCCTGGCTCAGGCACTCCTTGTGTGGCCTTAAGCGGGCCTCTTCCCCTTTCTAGGCCTCAGTTTCACCATCTGTGAGATGGAAGGAGTGGACAAGGTGATTGGAGGTCTCTGTACAGATCTCTTATTCTGAGAATGAGCGACACAAGGAAGAGGACTTGCCTGCAATTAATGACACGGAGAAGCCGGAGGCCGCTGTGCCGTCCCTGTTGAGTGAGAACCATCAGCGCACCCCACCGCCACCCACTGCCAGCTCCCTGACCGTGTGGGCCAGCTGGGGCCTCGAGCTCCACCCTGCCTTGCCAAGACCAAGACCCCTGGGAGGGTGTGGTTGGAGGACACGCGCCCAGATGCTCCCTGACCATGACTTGAAGCCCCAGTGCTGCCAGCTGCTCATTAGAGAAGAGAAGCCCATATCTTTGGCACAGACAAACACAGTGACACCTACCCTCTACCAGGCCCTGTGCTAGGAGAGGGGACATGGGAGTGAAGGAAACTTGCTGTCTACCTGTGACAAAGTGACAATGAGTAGAGTGAGCACCAGCTGCTGCATCCTGGGGTCCAGCCCGCAGCTGGGTCACAGAGCCTGTCCCTGACATGGGGTGCAACCCACACCGAGGCACCATCTGCAGCCCAGGTGAGCATGATCAAAGCAAGAGCGGGGTCCATGGAACTTGAGGAGGGGTCAAGTTCAGAGCCATTCACACGTAGGCATCATCTTCCAAGCCCACCACGGGGAACAGATGCACACGCCTGGACCCAACCAGTCCACTGGCTGGAAGAATTCTGTGCTCTCCTTCTGAGAGCCAAACCTTCTAGGCACGTGGAATCAATGAACCCAATAGCTTCCTATCTGTAATGTGCTGGTAAATGACAATTCCTCCATTTGCTCAAGACAGTCAACAGAATCCACTGGGTCAGGGCTCAGACTCAGGATTAGACTGCCTGGAGGAAACCAAGATGTCCGTGACATCGTCGTCAAGAACCAAGGAGCTCTCAGCCTCGGAGAGCACAAAAGACCTGGGCACAAATGCCATAAGAGAATGGCTGGTGCTAGGAGATCCAGGTTAGGGGTGGGGGAAGGTGACATGGGAATTCAAAGGAAGGAAAGGTACATTCCAGCTGGGGACCCAGAAAGCCTTCGTGAAGGAGATGGCACATGGAAAGACCATCCATCAAGGCAAGGAGGCCAAGTTCTCGTGTCCCTTCTGCCGCAGTCAGCCAAGTCATCTTGAGAAAGCCAGTTCTCTCCATTTTAAAATGGACCATTTGCCCCAAGTGCCTCACAGCATTATGAGAATTAAATGAGAACTGATTTAAATGCACATCAGATAAATAAAGGCACCATATAGAAAGCTTCGTCATCACTCAGGGAAGAGCAGGGAGGAAGCTAAAAGCAGGAAGTTTATGAAGGAGGAAGCGGTTGGGGGCGGGTGACGCCTGCCAATCGCAGAGCTGATGTGAACACCTACTGGGCTCTTAACTGGCTCCAATGATTTTTTTTTAACCTCCCACGGCTAATTTTATTGAAGAGAGAGCCCATGAAGAGTAAGTCAGATCATCTAAATGCCTCTGCATCAGGAAAATGAAAGTCCCAACCAGAGAGGGAGGCTTCCCATCCCTGAGTAACAGGAGCACGGCCGTTTGCGGTGGTCAGGGAACCTGGGGCTCCCTTCCCCCGGCTCCCAGCACAGGGCCAGGGCCTGGTGAACTCAGCAAACACTCATTACACGAACGCATGGGGTCCTTACCACTTCCCAAGGGGCTTTGCTTTCATGTTCCATTTCGATTTGTAAGCACAAGCCAGTGGGGCAGGCAGGACATGTATTATCACCCCTGTCAAGGATGGGGAAACAGGGGCTTGCCGAGGGTGACTGTCCACGTCCCAGGCAGCACCATCAGGAGGGACCCCAGGTCTCTGCCTCCTCACACAGCATCACTTCCTCACACCACGCACCTCCTAAGAGTTGTTGCCACAGCCAGTCTTTGCCCCAACAGTCACCAGTCACCTTCCCCGGTTGTACTGAAGGCCTACTATGTGCTGTTCTGAGCACATTCCCTGTAATACTTCACTTAATCAGACCCTTGCATTGAGGAAATTCCTATTATTATCCCCAAATGTACCGGTTTATTCCAATTCAGAAGGTGGTTTTACACATCCCAGAAACAGAATGCCATAGATTCTCTGATCCTTGTACCAAATAAGAACAGATTTGGGTTAAAACCTTTGGTTCAGTTGTTTGGAGACATTGCTTAGAAGAAAGAGAAACAGCACAGGGAGTCTGGAAGACAAGAGGGCTTTTTTTTTCTCTTTTTTCACCGTGGACATTTCTTCCTACAGAATCAGCTGTCAGTTTTGACAGATGGCCTGGCTGCAGGCCAGGGGACAGAGGGTAAGTTCATGGTTAAGACGGCACCAGGGAGCTAGAGCCAGCTGGGCCGATTCAGGGTCCGAAATTAAGGCCAGAGCCCAAGTTCCAGCCACCTCCCCTAGACGCCCCCACTGCTGCAGCTGCACCAGGCAGGCCAGTGCCTGTCTCGGTGTCTGTGACCTTCTGGCTGCAAGCAAGTAGGGTGGCAAGAGAGAGAAGAGGAATGGGGCCTCAGGGAGAAAGCTGGAGCATGTTCAAGGTCAGAGCTCCCCTCCTCTCTCACGACCCACCTCTGCCCCTTGGCTGATAAGTTTACCGTGCACCTACTTCCTGAGGGATATATTCATTCTAGTAAAAATTCATGACACAAAGATTTTAACAGGAGGCTGGAAATCACACTCACCCCACAGCTCTGTTGAGGGGCACCTGGCTGAGGTGCTCAGGGGGTCCCCTAAAGTGGCAAGAAATGGGGTAAGGGGAACAGAATTTCAGAGGACTCCCAGCTCCTGAATGAGTGTCAGTTTCTTGACCAGTGTGGCCAGGTCAGCTCTGACCTCTGCAGCTGCTGGGGTATTTAGCCACCCACCACGTGGGGTCTCGGTACTGTCCAGACACCTGTGGCTTTAGAATCTCACTAGGGGGCCAGGCATCACTGGATCTGGGAGAACTGAGCCATTAGCTGGGTAATGTACACCGATAATTAGTTTATCAAATTAACCGTTCGTGCCTCTGTCCACTGAGTGAGAGAACAGAACACAAGAGTGGGTCAGCTCTGATGGGGAGAGGAGGTGAGACGAACCAGAGCTAAGACTCAGATGGTGGGAGGCCTCCCTGGGAGGCCTGAGCAGAGAGTAGGAAGAGGAGGTGGTCAGGCAGATGGCAGGGATAAGAGGATGCTTGCGGCAAATTCACCAACCACACAATTTCAAAGCCAAACGTAAGACTTCAGAGCTGGATCATCTGGTCCAACCCCCTCTTGTAACACCTTGAGTTATTGGTCATGGCCACGTGGCAGAGCCAAGACTAAGAACCAGAACTCCACTACTCCCCCCAAAACAGATTTTCCGGCCAGTGATCTTTCTGGCACCCCAGAGACTGACCTCAGTCTCCTGATCCCACTGGGGTTAGGAATCCCCTCCAGAACATTGAGCATTCTTGAAGATCCCATGGACCACCCCCATCAGCCATTCCAGCCAGACATACCTTGTGTGAGTAATGCTGGTCAACGATCCTCGCCAACCCGAAGTCCCCAATCTTGAGCACGAGGTCCTCCGTGCTGATGAAGATGTTGGCGGGCTTCAGGTCCCTGTGCAGCACGTTGGCGGAGTGGATGTACTTGAGGCCTCGAAGCAGCTGGTACATGAAGAGCTTCGCATGCTCCTCGGTCAGCGTGCCCTGCTCCAGCAGGCGTGCCAGGTCGGTCTCCATGTACTCCTGGACGATGTAGGCCACACTGAACTTGAATAGCTCACCCTGCAGGTCGGCGCCTTTGGGCCCCAGGACCTCATACACCTTCACGATGTTGTCATGGTCCAGGCGCCGGATGATCTTGATCTCCCGGAGCGCGTGCTTCATGCTGCGGGTATCGCCCAGGGTGATCTTCTTCACGGCCACCTTGCGGCAGGCCCTGCTGTCCACGGCCGACAGCACCAGCCCGTTGACGCCAAAGCCCAGGGGTTGGAAGTCAACAAAGCGCCCGCCAAGGTCATACCCGTAGACACTGGCAATGCAGTCGCCCTTCTCAGCCATCGTTGGCTCAGTGGTCAGGGGCTGCCCGTGGGACAAAGGGGCAGTCAGGAAAGGACAAGTCCCAGTTAGTGGCTTCCCCAGCAAGCCTCATTCTGTCAAGTCCCGAAGCTGAGAGATGCTTTTTCTCTGGGTGATGTCACTGCCATCAGTTCTCTGGAGACAAGAGTGGCACATGTCCATACTCGCTGAGCTGCAGAAGCTGGAGGCTCAGACTAATTTCTTAACCTGCACTGGGAAGACTGGCCAACAACTCCTACGTAACCTGCGCCTTCCTGGAAACTTAGAGTGGCTCATGATTCTTTCAAATATAGCATCTTGGAAAGAAAATCCAGCCTCGTTATCTACGTGAACGTAATGTTTTCTGTCATGATGGACCACAAGATAAAGATGCAGAAACTCTCCCCTTTAAATTCTTTGTTAAAAGAAGTTCCTTCTAGCTGAAATGCAGAGCTGTTGCTGAGCTGGGGCTGAGCTGTGTTCCTTTACTTTCGATGGTCCAAAGCTCAGTGGTATCACAGCCTCTGGCCTGATAAAGGCTGTGTCCCGAGTAGTATGTTGGGATTCCAACAATGGTTCTGGAGGCTCATAGGGATTTCTTTCCACCTCTCTGCCAGTTCTCCTTTTCACCAGCTCCCTTAGATTCTGAAACCCAAACCAGTCTGCTGAGCATTAGTAAAGAAAGCTGGAGAAATCCAAGCACCTTTCGTGAGCTCTGTACCAAGTTACACTTTTGAAGTCCCAAACCCGAGAGCAGCTGAGCTGCCCAGCCAGGATCCTCCAGAGGCTTCAGATGTGAGCAGCATCCTCTGTCACCCCGTCATCCACGCCACCCTGAATAAGACTGTGTTCTGCTGGACCCAGAGAGGCTGCAGGAATGCGGCATCTTTCAGACCGAGTCTCCTTCCCTGTCAGAGAAATAATGTTGGGTAAATTTCCATGCTCCGGCTTCCAACACCTTCCCACTTGTGTGTCTTTTGTTAACCAGCCCAAGTGTTATTTGATCTGTCCAGCCAGCTGAAACACTGCTTGCTCAGGGGATTCCAGGCTTTGCACTGCCCAGTCACCCCTCCTGCTATGTGCAGCACTCCCCTGGAAAAGAGAGAAGATGGATTGATTTGATAAGACCATCAAACTGGTGTGCCTTTTATGTAAATGCCTGCTCCCTGAAGGTTAACATGCACAATCTGTGGGTGGCAATGATCAGCTCTGACCTTTGTGAAAATCATTCGTTACGCTCTCCAAACACACACATCAGCACTAGCTGAGAAGGGTGAGTAAAAAGCAACTAGTTGCAGACAGAAAATAAAGGATCAATACTTTCGTTTTTCAGCTTGGACCCCTTTTCTTCCTTCTTTGCACATGTCTTTGCATATGTTGAGAGAATCTGCCATGCACTGAGATTTAATCTCCGCATCTCTTGTTTTCCATGTAGATAGCAACAAACACACATACCAAGTTACAAGGGAATTTTACTGCCACCCTAGAAACGGGACTCTCTGCCCAGCAAACCAGCACACTGACCACTTAGTGTGACACCAGGACTGGCATAGTGAACTCTATTCTTTTCGATGGTGGGGATATAGCTCTTCAGAGCAATGGGTCAGATCCTGTCCTGACTGCCCTCTGGCGGCAGCTGACTCAAATTACAGGCATAGGACCTAAGTGGGAGGGTTCACCCCTGCTCCAGCGAAAGTAGCCATGTAAATTCAGACCTCTGAAGTAAAGGCATTATCATAGCTTCTAAGAGGGTGGCAGGTTTTATAAGTTTATCAAGTCCACAGACACAGAGAACAAATACTATATCCTGTGCAAAGGAGTGAAATCTCACCGGGACTGCTTCTCAATTCTCATCATATTGTAGGGATCCCTGGAGGGCTACTTTCTCATCTGAACTCTACAAATGATGAATGAAGCAAAATAAAAATAAATGCAATGCTCTAAAATAAAGGGAGCAAGTTAGGGGAACAGATGATCTGAAACAGTAAACAATCAGATGCCTCTAAAGGCTGCTAATGGAAGGAAACTTTCCAAGAGTCTGGAACAAAGCTCAACAGATGTCACCTGTGAGTTGCTACTGTTCAAAATTCCCTTACACTTGAATAAGATGTACCTACTATTTCGATGTTTCATCAAATCTCCAGCAATTCTACTCCGCGTGTTTTTACTGGGCCCAGCAACAAAATAATCAGAATTTCAGATTGGGAAGCGATCGTAGCAAACAAGTCCAGTGATCCTTAACTGGGGGTGGTCCTGCCTTCTTGGCTGCTTTGATGAGGAGTCGCTAATGGCCTTTAATGGGCCATCCCATTTGCTAACCATCCTGCCAAGCATCTCCATCAGTGAATAACTGACACTCCGCCCTAAATGCCAGCATCTCCACTGAGAGACCGATTCTAGCCTGAGATCTCACTTTGCAGATGAGGCCATTGAGGCTCAGAGAACACCAGCTCAGTGCTTTTAGCAAAGACAAAGTAGAGAAACATTTGGCGAATTGATAAATGAGCACCATTCACTCTGTGGACTACTAGCCAGTTAGAGACAGCGCTGGGGCCACCCACTGAGCCACAGCCTGTGGCCTGTGCTGCTGAAGTCCACCTGGACACCTAGTTCAGAGGAACAAAAGAGCCACCTGGGACCCCATTCCATCCGTCCTCCGACTCCTGCTGCCCAAGTCAGGTCACAGAAACTAAACTAGAGCTCCTCTCACTTTCTGCCCATATGCCTGGCCTGATTCCAAGGGCACAGCAAACAGAGGCAATTATGTATTTTGTTTTATGAGGGGAGACGCTGAAGTCGTCTCCCCTTTCCAGCCCCCACCGGGCTGTAAACAGAGACAGGAATGAGGACCTAAGCAGGGAGATGACATCACCAGCAAGCTGAAGGCAGGATTTGTTCCAGATCAGCTGCAATGCAGATAATCTGTGGATAATTAAGAGAGGCTTTATTTATTTTTAAAACTCTTTTTTCTCACAATGGGGAGGAGCTGTCTCGTGTGTGTGTGTGTGTGTGAGTGGTCTGCACAACACGCTGTAGGCAGGTACCTCGGTCACCTTGGTAAGGCTCGATTCCAGCCACTCCACTGTCCTCATGGATTCTAAATTTACCGTTTTAAGTCCTGCCTTGCTTTTTTGCTTGTACCTTCCCAGTTCCCGAAATGTCTCCTGCTCCCTCCCCACTTGTTGAAATGCTGCCCATCATCCAGAATCCAGAGGAAGTCTCACTTCCTCCCTGAAGGGTCGTCAGTGACATCTCTCCCTATTCTGAACTCCTGTACGTTTTTGTGTATATATTGTATTTGACGTTTATTTACCAGATACTAATCTGGATTGTTATTTAAGTTTTCATGCATATCTATCTCTCAACCCGACTTGAAGCTTCTCAAACCCTTGACAGAAAGTAGCACTTAGAACATAACTGCGGATTAAAGGTGCCTGGGACACATTTGTTATGTCTACAAAACTGCAATGCCCACATCCCCTAGAAGGTCAGCCTCCTCTCCCTCCCATCGCTACCCTAGCGCAACAGGGCTCGTCACACAACAAGCCCCAACTACGCAGACAAACCAGTATTTCCGAACTTCAACCCTCTCGGTTTCATCTTCCGCTTAGACGTCACCTCTCTTTGCATTTCAACACAAACCGGACAGCCCTTGTCTATTTCTCTGTTCCCATTTGAATTTACTGTTATTCATCTCTTCACAAACCTCTTTATTTTCTAAGCTTTTCCCTATAATTCCTCCATAATTTCTACTGTAAACCATTTGCCTTTGTCCACAGGAGGACTGATTGTGAAACACCTATTACCTAGGAAGTCTCGAGTGAGTGGTTCATTTCTTGCACGGTGTACCAAGGAGAGGGGCTGACCTGGCACCTGGATGTGCCCACCTGGGCAGAGGAGTGAGGATGGGATGGCAGGTCTTGGTGCGATGCAGCTTCTCAGGGCAAAGCACAGACATTCTCCATTTGGAGATGGTGGCGCAGAGCTGCTCTGAATCACAGGTGTGATTCTGAACCAGGAAGCTGGCATTCCCCTTGAGGGATGGAGAGAGGGCATGGGTTCAGCTGTGCCTGAATGATACTCAGCGAAAAGAATGCACGAATTCTTCCAAGGGTAGCAAGGCTCCCACGATTCCATGGTGAACATCGTACTAAAACACAGGGGTAGAAATCTCTACCCCAGGGCTCCTAGCACTGGAGCTCCTTCTCTTCATTGACTTCTCACCGACTCTCCACCAAGATCTTATTTGAGGCCAATTAATTAGCCTCTTATGCATCCAGCCTTTTAACATGTGGAGGCAAACCAGAGATGAGATGGTGTGTGCCAACTGTCCCTTTCTGGGATTCCTGGGGTTCTGGTTTACAAAGCGGCTTTGGAAAGTCTAAATTTAGACTCACCTCCTCTGCCTGCTCTGATCCTCCTAAACCTCATGCTAGTGGCTTTCAGCAGGAACCACGGCCCCCAGTGAGATGCTGACATTTCCCAGACACTGCTTTCCTCCCTCTCCTGAGCACCCAAAAACTTGCAGGAAAACCCTCCCTGGCAGGGTGGATGTTTACAGTTAACCAGGCTGCACACTGCACAATTTCAGGGGACACTGCACATCATAGACAAGTCTGTCCGACTCTTAAGTTTCATGATCCTCATCACTAGAGTCTATGTGAATGAAATCCCCTAGACTGGAGATTGGCAAATTTTTTCTGTAAAGGACAGGAGAATAAACAGCCTAGGCTTCGTAGGACGTACAGTCTTTGTTGCAATATTCAACCCTGCCATTGGCGATACGCAAATAAAGGGCCTGGCTACATCTCAATAAAACTATTTACCCAAATAGGTGGGGGGCTGGATTTGGCTAGGGGGGTAAGTTACCGACCCCTGCTCTAGACTCTGTAGGAAGACCCTCTAGCTTGTTCCCAAGGAGGCACTGAAGTGTGTGCCTCTTTCCAGCCCTTTCTGCACCATCTCCACCCTCCTGGACTCAGTCTCTCTGTTGCCCCTCACGGTGGCGTTATCCCAGGCCTGCCCTCCCAGGGAGGTACCCCAGGTTGAGCTCATCTGCAGGTTTCATGCCCTCAGGACCCGGCTCTCTGCTTCCCACAAGCTGTCTTCCAGTTCTGGGATTCCATGGTGCTGTCCATGTGCCTTGCTCCTAAACCACACATTTAACAGAGGCTTTCTGGAGACACGGCGAAGACCGCACAACGAAGATGGACGGAACTATACATGTGGAGGGTTCACTCTGGGCCAAGGGACTGATTTTATTAGTTGGGTCTCATGAGAACCCGATGGTGTTGATATCACTCTCCCATGAAGCCCCCAGAAGGAAATGACTTGCCCAGAGTCTCACCCTAGCTGGTGATGAATCTGGAGTGTAAACTCAGGTCTGACAACAAAGCCCACACTTCTCATCACCGTAACACATTGGCTGAGCCCAAGTAAGTGATTCCCATCAAGAACCATCTAGACCCAGGAAGGACACATTTGGGGGAGGCACGCTTTGTGGTTCTTCTCAAATTAAAGCACAAGGCGGCCCCCTTTTCAGCCTGTGTTTTAGCTCCAGTGTGGAGGCCATGGTTAACTAGCCCATTTTATAAAAAGAGAAATTGGGAAATAAAACATTAAAATGAGATTGAGTTAAGAAACACAAAACAAGACCAAAAAATACCCTGCCAAGTTCAAACAACTGTAACCCTGCCTTCCAACCAGCTCCTGATCTCCTCTCTAACTGTAAGCCGTGGATGTGAGAGGCCCCGGCTGCAGGGACTGGCCACCACAGAGGGGAGCTGAGCTGAGCATTCTCCCAGCTGGTCCTGTAGTGGACACTGGACACCTACCCAGGAACCATTCTCACTTCCTCCAAATGAACAGAAACCAGGTCTGGGTCAGCCACTGAGCAGCTGAGCCCAACTCAGGGATGACCCATGGTTAGATGATTGGTCTAAACCAGGGTTTTTCAATCATTTCATTCCTTTCAGCATGATTGAGACTTTGAGCCAGATCATACTTAGCCACAGGGCTGTCCTGGGCACTGCTGGATGTTTAGTACATCACTGGCCTCTACCCACTGGATGCTAGCGGCATCCCCCTAAACC